CAGATGCTTATAAGAACTGAATTGTGTAAGAAATTTCTGTCTTGCTACCTAGGTCAGCTGTTTCTCACTGAAATTAAGTTTCACTGAATGTTTAAGGCATCAGTTTAGTATCAGAGGGATAAAGGGGAAGAAAATCACACTATTAAGGTATGATTTTGGCTTCCTTTGCTAGTATTTCCACATAATTTATTATTTTAAAATACATAATAGTAATTATAAAACTGTGAAAAATAATGTATGTTTTAGTGTTATCATCACAACTGTGCATAATAGTTTTAAAATCAAAACTAGTTTTTATTAGTTTTAAAACCAAAAGTATATTTAAATCATTTTTAGTTGTGTATATTTGGATGGACTTTGTAAGGATAGATTTTATACCTATAACTGGCTTTATGCCAATATATAGTAATATATGGAAAAGCGCAATATTGTTTTAGTCTGTATTCAGCTCAACAAAACAAATTTCAACAGTTTAGCAAAAATAAAGGGAAGAGGAGAAGAGACTAATTTCAGAAGACTATCTGTCTCTTCTGATGCCTTGGCAATAAATATTTTATGTAATATATAAAGCCTAAAATAATTGCCATGGCCTTTCATGACATCCTCCTCTTCAAAACACCCAAGTGGAAAGACTCTAAAGTTTATATATTTATGTAAATCTGAATATCCACATGGCCAAGGCTCTATGTTTTCTCATGCCAAGAGACATATACTTGTAGTTTCTTCTAGTTCTCAGAATTAACATGTGTAGAGGCTGTGCTGAGTCTATAACAAGTTTCCTAAAAGTCAATAGTACTCTCTAAAAGCAAGTCAGTTTTGCATAATACATAATAAATGCCTATATAAATAAGATTACAAACAGATCAGCAACAAGACAGAGCAATAAACAAGAAAATACAAAAATGTACACATCATGTCAAATATGTACTTGCATTATAGTTAATATTTTAAAAATATTACATAGAAAGCAAAACCAAGCTTTGCTAAAAACACCGTATTTTAGTTCATCTTTCCTGTTCTCCCTTGGCTTCCTGCTACCCCTGCAGTGGTAGTGCTTGGACCTGGTGGTCCTGTGTTTCTTCTTAAAACAAGCCCCTGCTTGTGGAACTGTCACCTGGGGGTCTGTGCTAGCAGCTCCACTGTGCAGGTGTGCGGGACCTGGCGCTGGCCTTAGGTCTTGTTGTCTTGTCCTTACGGCATTTCAGCTCCAGGAGCTTCTGCCTCCAGACTTAAGTGTCCTCTTCCTTGAAGACAGTTGTTTGCTTTTTCACCTAGTTCCCTAAGAAAACAAGGCAAGCACAAAGGTATGCACATACCCATATCTGTCTACTCCCACGATTAACTTGAAACTCACTGAATAATTTCAGAGAAGTTAGACAGCAGGAGAAGGTCTCAGGTGGATAAGCTTCTCTACAGCCACCCAAGCAGGGTGCAGAGTCCTTATCACTGCTTCTCATGTGGCACCTAATCCTGAGCAGAGCTGCAGCGTGCACAAAATGTTCATGTTCAGTACCATTTTGTAATAGAAAGAAACAGGAACTTGGAAGGGGGACACAACTTGTTAATTGAGAACTTTGTAAACTGGCAGAAGAGAAGGGAGTAGGAACTATTTGATTTAACAGAGAAGGCACTTGGTATCCATCATGAAGCCCTACACTGTGTACCCTGCTAAACTGGAACGTGTTTTGATCATGTCTTGATGATGTTTAGACACTGGCTAACCAGAGTGTTTAGAAATGGTATCTGTGAGGTTTGCCCATTCTGACATCAAGGGTATTTAAAAGCCATTTTTTAGGTCATTGTGACATTAATGACATTGTAACTGTGGAACTAACGGGCATGGAAGTGAACTGGTTTTGGTCATTAAAAAAGCTCACAAATATTGTGGTGAACTTATAAAGAAGTATGTAGATGTGATGATCTGAGTTGCAAAATGTGTTATAGGAAGAGCTCTTTGTAGATCCCTAAAATATTAGGTTTACAATTCAGGAAATCATGACCCAGAAATTGATAACAAATGCTGGCCAAGTTTTACTTTGGAAAGCATTTCTTTAAAGTGATTGCAATGGTGTAAGGAGGAAAGAATTTTGTCTCTTAATTTCTGCTAAAGTAAATCTGTGGCTTTTTGTAATAATTTGAATGGATCTCATCAGACTGGAACCTCACAATATTAATTAGCCTTTTATCTAATCTAACACAACAGCCTTACCCATCATAAGAAAAACATCACATAGAAATCAGTGAATCATTAGGGAAAAAAAAAGAAAATGAAATTTCGTTCATTTACTATTCACAGAACTTCTTGTTTTGTAGTCAGAGTAAGGATCAGGAGCCTTATGTAGCTTAGGAAAGTAAAAATAAGGTACAATGCATAAAAATAGAGTATGAATACCCATATGTTATTAAAGCAACAATAGTAGAAGATGCCATTAACAGTCGGATACAGTTTTAATATGACGTATCCTCAGTTATATGCCATTTAAAAGGAGTATAAACAATTTATAATACAGAGTTTCTAAAATTTATTGCACCCTTAAACATCACACAGCACAACAGATACTACAACTTTAGAATATAGCTATTTGTAACATCTGCACATCAGTAATGACCAGCATAAATTAAGTGCAAACCCTTTCCAACATCACTTACAAAGCGTTATTTTAAATTGTCCATTTAGAAAGCTTCAAAGTCATATTTTTCTTCTTTAAATAAATATCCTTTTATTTTCAAGTACTGTCTGACCTGTTAGTGAACCTTATTTAAACTGTAGCCACAAAAACTGATATAGATAGCTTTTTCCACTCTTAAGACAAATATAGTTTCATAAGTCAAAGCTACCATGCACTTCTGATCACTCTTTAGAGCAAATTATTTACATATATTCATTGCTTAATTTCTGTAACCCACCCACATATGCTAAGTTTTCATCATTAGATTTATTAAATCCGGAAGACTTCCTGAGCCAGACAGCTCCCATATGCAGAGAAGATAAACCTTTCCCTTCCAGTAACTAACAGCTTGGATCTCTAATAATAAGACTTTACACACACTCCAAAGAGCTGTTGTGAGGAATAACTTTGTGTGGCCTGGCCTGGCAGAGCGCGGCCTTCCCGCGTGCACGGAGAGCGGCGGGAGGCTGCAGAGCAGAGAGGGCAGCGCAGCCGGCGGCGAGAGAGCTGCGCGGCGGCACCGCGTTTTGTCTGCTCTGTCAGCGTCCCCCGGGACGGGCTTCCGTGGCGGGAGGTGCGGGTGAGATGAGATGTCTTTTACAGCTCAAGGATATCATTTTGGCTTTTTGGAGGAGATAAAAAATTTTGACAGCCTTACCATAGGAGTTTCCAGTTTGTACAGGAATAAAGAAATGTAGCAAGGAAAATCCTCTAGCAGATTAATGAGGACACGTTAGCAGTTGAATCCATGCATGCTTCGTATAGTAAAGCTTAGAAGTTTGTCAAAAGGGAATCAAAATAAAAAATACAGATCTTGTATATGTGAATAGATTTCAGAATTACTCTCCAGGTGAGGCAGAAAGCATGTTGAATGATAGTTATTAACGCCTAACAAAAATGGATAAACACACAGAGAAGGGCAACGTTGCAAGTGTGGTCTTGAAGTTCTTACCTGTATACCCTGGGCCTTCAAAAGAATAGCTAAAGATTACTGCTTGCAAACAAAAATGCACACATCTTAAACTCTGTTCTGCCTTAAAGAATCATGTCACAGTGAAGCCACACTAGAAGGGATCTCAGATCATTACACTCTGCCCCAAGACAGGATTAACAAAGTCTGTGTCACTTCTGACAGATGTTTGGTAACATCTTCTTAGAACCTTTCCCTGCTGGGGACTTTGTAACATCCCTAGGCAATCTGTTGCAGTGCTTAGTTATCCTGACTCTCAAAAAGTTTTTCCAGTGTTTGCTTCCTTTCCTGCCTGAAGATGAAATCACAGCTAGTGTATTGCAAAGAAAGATTGACAGCTCTTTTCTCAGATGACATTGGAAGCTTAAATTAGTCTGAATGCCACCCCCTTCCTGCCCTCATCCTCACAGTCCCACCTCTTCCCATCTACTAGCATCGATATTCCTGCAACCAAGCAGGGAGTGGGCTCAGAGAGATAACCCAGGGTTTTTGTGGTTGTTGGTTTGGGTTGGATTTGTTTTTGATAAGAAGGATCAGCTGCCTAAACTATCAGGAGAAAGGACAGATTGCAGCACTCTTGTTTTATAGCAGCTTAAATTGCTCTGCAATTGTACTGCTAGTTATCACAGGCTGTACTGTTTGCCTACTGTGGCACCCTCAGCTTAATGCAATAATAGGTTTTCTAATGTTTTAGATCCTAGGAAGATCCTAGGTCAGTATCATTAAACCTGGATACCTATATTAGGCCTTGAAACTGTGCCTAGGGTCTACATAAAAGCATCTTTCTTTTTTTTTTTTTTTTTCCTTTCCAGGGTTTTTCGTTTCCAGGGTCCACGCTTTGGACTTCACATTAAGGTGGTGATGTTTTAGTTGAGGATTTTTTAAGAAACTAATCACTGATTCAGAGGTTTAAATCCACATACTCAGCTTTGAAATAAATACAGGACTAAAACCAGGCACACAGCTTTAAGACCACAAGTGTATAACTGTATGATATGAAACTGTGAGGAATTTTTTTTTTTTTTAGAAAAGTAGCTAACTCTAAACTTATCTGCATGAGATAATATTATAGAGTTTCAAATTGTGTGGGCAGTTGTCTTGACCTAATTAATTCTCAAAAAAATCATAGAAGTTGTTGCTAGAAGAGTGGTGGGTGAACCAATGCAGGGGAAATGTGAAGGAGAGCAAGGGCTGAAGCTGTAGTTGCTGCCCATTCGGAATAGACGTTAGGCGCCTCTCGCCTCCCTGGGCCGAGAGCTGCAGGCTCGTGCCCCTCTGGCGTGGGACGCTGGTTGCTGGGGGACACGAGTATCCTACGTGGAAGCTGCGCGAGGGACGGTTGTGTGTGAACGCAGCATCACTTATCCCTCCGCAATGGCGTGATGGGGTCTCTCACCTCCACCAAGCCCTGTAAAGGGGGTAGTTGTTTCCAGGGATATCTCTCCCTCACAATCAAATGGCAGAGTGGAAGGCATGGGAAGACACTTGGGGCTGCTGTCAGGAGCAGGCCTTTTCTCCGTGAGCGGCTCCTCGCTGCTCCCTTCTTGCTGGAGGCTCATGGCCAGGGGCACGGGCTGCACCCAGGCAGCCACGGCAGCGGGTGGCACTGAGGATGAGGCAGCTGCCCCCCTCTGACATGTGGTGTCATGGTGGTAGGACACCAGCTCATTGCTGAAGTTGACCCTCTCCACGGTGGACCTGGCTGTGCCGCAGCAGAAGCACCGGCAGCCCAGGAGGCTGCTGAATGCCCGTCTGAAGTCCGCGTTGAAGGCGTAGATCACAGGGTTCACGGAGGAGTTGGCCCAGCCGAACCACGTGAAGATGTTGAAGACAGTCTGGCCAATGCAGGGAGAAGGCCCTTTGTGGCCACTCTCTGGTGCAGGCTGGCAGAAAGGCAGCAGGCAGTTGAGCAGGAAGAAGGGCAACCAGCAGCAAACGAAGACACCCATGATGATGGAGAGGGTCTGCAGTACCTTGGTCTCCTTGCGCAGGCAGCTCCTCAAAGAGGATGCAGGGTCCTTGCCAAGGGCTGGGCACTGCCCCACTGCGCGCTCGAGGCTGGAGATGCGGCGAATCTGGGCCTGGGCGATTCGGTAGATGCGGGTATAGGTGATGATCATGATGGCCACGGGGATGTAGAAGCTGATAAGAGAGGAGGTGATGGCATAAGTGCGGTTCAGGCGGACATCACAGCGGGGCATCCCAGGCAACCGGGACCCCAGAGGCCTCCTGTCCTGGGCTTTATGCCAGTGTAGCTGCACTGGGATGAAGGAGATGAGGATGGAGAGGGCCCAAGG